CCTTAACAAAGGCCGAAATGAGGATAGTTTTGAAATGGAAGTCAATCTTTTATGAAAATAAATGAAAGAGGGTCATTCCTGAACCAAGAGTCTAAACTGACTAGCAGCTGTGGCCAGACTGCAAGACTGGCCATGTTGGTGAGGGTAGCACTAACCTCAGGCATTTGCTAGGTGACAGTCCCCATTCCTGGTGCCTCGGAATGACTGTCCCGTATCTGCAATCTACACTGTGCCATCACAAGCTAAGCTTAACAGTAATCCCTGACAATTATTTTTCTATTCTATGGGAAGATTATTAATAAGAATTGTGAGGAATATTTAAGAAAATATATTAAGCTTTTGTAATAGTAGGTGGATAATCTGTAGGCAGAATTCTGTGAAACATTCCATAAGAACTTTGTTATTGTAGGTGTTGTTGGCACATTTGTATCTCCACTGTAGTTGTCACTTTTGTATTTCTATTGCTTAGAATACCATCACAAGGTATGCATTCAATAAATGATCGCATTATATGACTAAGCTAATGAGGGCCATAAAACTTTAATCAATACTAAATCATAATTACAATGTAGCTTTTAGCAGGGTCCCAAATCTACTAGGTCCTGCAACTCAAGGAACTGCCTGAGAGAGCTTCCAGGTACCCTGTGCCAGCGGGACCTGCTGGTCCCAGGCCAGGCACAGTGTGGTAAGACCCTCTTCCACCCCATTGGTACCCCCACACACACCACTATGCAGCACCCCACCCTGCCTGCCCAGTGAGAATTTCTGTCATGTTCTGGGGACCCCCCAGATCCAGTCCTAGCCCAGACCCCGGTGAGTGTGTGGGAAAGATTCCCACTACCCTGCACAGGCGGGACCTGCCGGTCCCAGCCCAGGCACAGCATGGGTGAGACCCTCTTCCACCCCATTGGGACCCCAGACACACCATTCCGCAGCATCCCCCCACCCGGCGTGACCAGTGAGAGTTTCTGCTACGTTCTGGGGACCCCCAGATCCAGCCCTAGGTCAGGCCCGGTGAGTGTATAGGAGAGCTTCCTCTCCGCCCTACTCCAACTTGTCCCCTCCAGACTCAGCTCAGGTCTGGCATAGAGGCCTAGGGTAAAAAACTGCAACTGCAATCCCTGCAGAGAGAGTTGGGGACAGAACCACCCAGCTAGTCCAGGAGCAGAACATCTTTCCAGAGGGGTACAAGAGGTTCCCTCAAGGGCAGCAGCAGGAAGGAGCTGAGCACAGCAGCCAGACCCAAGCCAGGCACAGCTGGATAGATCCAAACTTTGTAGATCTACACCTGAACTTCAGTAGATGCTAAGGTTATAACTGCAACAAAACTCTACAACAAAGGTCAGAAGACAGTGCTACACAAAATGACAATGAGAAGGAGCAAAATGCAATCTAGACCCCAAGCCCGCCCATAACAAGTGCAGAGGACAATAACACAGAACAAATTGGGAACTACACAGCTGAAATCAATGAATCAATGGCTTCTGAAATAAAGAAACAGCTGCAGAAAGGTATAGAGGAACTCAGATTGGAAATGAAAAAAGAAATCCCTGAATTAATAACATTTACAGTAAAGAATCAAATGTAGAAACATATAGAGGAAACCCAATGCCCACACAGAACAAGTGCCGAGGACACTAGCTGTATGAATTAATAGCATCAATAGTAAATAAGCAACAGGAGAAAGTTATAGAGGAACTCAGAGCAGAATTCTTTTCTACTAGCTCAGCTCAAATTTATGAATTAATAGCGTCAAAAGTAAATAAGCAACAGCAGAAAGTTATAGAGGAACTCAGAGCAGAACTCTTTTCTGAAATAAAAAAAAAGGATTCTCTGAACTCATAGCATCTGAAGTAAATAATCAAATACAGAAAAATAGGGAGGAAACCCAATATGAAGAAAACACTGCGGTAAAAGAATTAATACCTGCTTCTAAAGAAGACATTGATTAAAAAAATAAAGATTAGAAAAAACCAGATTCCTTGAATGAGCAATACAGGAAAGAAATAGGTCACATGAAGTAGAGTCAAAGAAAAAGAGGAACTTAAAATCTCAATCACAAGCTTCCAAAACCATTAGAGTGAAAGTGAAGACAGTTTCAGATCTTGAAGACGCTGGTGCAGCTAGTGAAAAGTAAGAAAACATCTCTTAAAAACAACTAGGATGCAGGAAAGAATAATCCATCACCTGCAAGATGATGCAAAGATGAATAATGTGAGACTAATCACATTAATGAGAAAGAAGGAGTCAATACAAAGGACATTAAAAAATATGGGTAGAAGTAATAGCAGAAAACTTCCCAAATATGAGGAAACAATCTGACATTCAGGTAACTGAAG